ATGGACAGAGGAGCCTGGAAGGCTACAGTCCTTGGGGTCTTAAAAGAGTGGGACACAACTTAGAGACTAAACAACAGCATAATTAATAATACTGTATTGTGTAATTGGAATTTTCTAAGAAAATAGAACTTAAATGTTTACACCAAAAAAGAAGAAAAGCAAGTATCAGATGAAGCCTGACCAGTGAGATGGAGCGGGTTAAGGTGTCAGAGAGATGAGAAGGGACTGGTCATACAGGCCCATGATAGAGGGCATTTGGATCTAATTCTAACTGCAGAACAAAGGAGGGGACAAGACTTAATATTTTAAGATCATTCTTTTCTTTTTAAATTAATACTACTTTTGCTGCTTTGAGGAGAAGAGGTCAGACAGGCAAAGAATCAAAGTTCTTTGAGAGAGAGAGACCAAAAGAGAGAATAACCAGGTTGCATGTGGTAGGAGCCGGGAGGGGTATGCTGTGGAAGTGTCCAAAGAAGTGCCATCTACAGTGGGTCTCTAAAGAGAAATGTGAATTGGGGCGTGGGTAGTAAGTAGACTGGCCATGCAGAGGCAACAATAGGAGCAAAGGCAGGGAGATGTGTGGTCCCTGATGGGAGAGCAGTAGAGAATGGTGTAGCATGGTCTCATGTCCTGGAGAAGGGAATGACTGCCCACTCCCGTATTCTGGCCTGGAGAATTCCATGGACTGTATAGACTGAGCGACTTTCACGCTGCTTCCCTGGTGGCTCAGCTGGTAAAGAATCCGCCTGCAATGCAGGAGAACTGGGTTCAATCCTCGGTTGGGAAGATCCCCTGGAGAAGGGAATGGCAACCCGCTCCAGTATTCTGGCCTCATATCAAAATCTGCATCCCCTTTACGATTCTGAAATGCAGTTTTCAGGGAATATAATTACCTCTACAAATAATTTTTTTAAACTATTAAAATACATGAGAATTTAAGAAGTGTGTGATTTAATGTGTAAATAATTCAAGCATGGCTATACTAGAAGACATAATGAATTAATCAGACCCTTGTACCTTCCTACAAGGAAAAGGTTCAGTTTTTAAGAATTAAGATAAAATTCCAGTGACTATTTCCAATATTTCATATTTAACATCATGAAATGAGGCTAAATAAGTGTATTTGTATCTCTACACACACAGTCACCATGATGAGACAGTACAAGCACAAACTGATATTGGTGTATATATTGCCAACCCAAATGTCATATGAGTTTCAGTGCTGTTGGTGACTTATTTTTCAAAGTGGTGAACTGCTCTGAATAAAGCTGCAGAAACACAAAAATACAGTCCTCCCTCAACTTACTTAGTAACTGTGTTTCTGAAATTCAGTGTGTATTAATACTATGCACAAATCCTTTTGTTTTTGAAAGGATTATGTGAAATTAGAATTAGAACTCTAGTCTCAGATAACTGAGACTAAGATCAGTTTTTCCAGTGTTATAAATATTGTACAAGATAAAAACATTTTTATATTGTGTTGAGCTGCATCCCTCATGCCCATTCACTGAATACAGAGGCACCCCGTCCTGTTTATTATGGCAATCAAAAATGTCTCCGCATTTTTAACAGTATTGTTAAAAGGACAGAACTGCCCCATAGTTTCCACATGCATAAAGTGGATATAACTACTTTCAGTTTCCTAGGATTAAATGAGATGATGCATATAAAATGTTGTGATTTGGGCCTGTCCAACCATATGGATTCAATAACCCAAAAATGATAGCTTGTTAGCCTTTGAATATATAAATTTAGTGGTAAATAGAAGAGAATTTAGGACTGAAGATGAAAGTTTAGGAGTCATGTATGTAGCTTGATTTAAACATTATAAAACAGCAGGCAGAAAGTTAAGATTCATTTTAAGAAGGATAAAAGTAGGGTTCCATGTCCTCATAAAATCTACAAAGTCAAGGATAAAGAGATATGGCTAGGCAACAGTTCATAAGAAAAAGGCAAGAAATTCCCAACTCTCAAGAGCCTGTGGGGAAAGTCAAAATAGGTGCACTCAATGTTGTCTTTTTTCTGACATTTACTTCAGCTAACTCTTTCTCTGCCACTTTGCCCCAAACCCTTCTCCCTGTGGTTTTCCCAGCCAATTTGCAGCTGAACTTTAGGTAGTTTAGGTCACCCTGATCTAATCATTTTAAAATAATTTTTCCTTTTATAGTGATACTGTCTTAGTTGAGAAGTACGGGAAGCCTTGTGTCAGTTTTTCATATGGTCACCGCCGCCCCCCCCACCCCACACCTAGTAGAACTTTCCCTTTGTGGTTTTTTTCTGAAGCAGTGCTCTTGAAGTGTCTCACGTGGGCTCAATCCACTGACCCCTGAAAGTGCATGTGAAAGTGCGTGTGTGTGTGTGTGTGTGTGTGCACTCATTTCTCTGAGGAAAGGGGTGTTGGTATTCCTTAAATTTCCAAAGAGGTGTATCTATAAAGAAGATTGAGGAACTTAAACCAGCCTCTTCTTAGATGAGGCAGATCCCTGTTTTCTGTTTTTGTAATGCATGTCTTTCAGCTACCTTTAAATTCCAAACTGAGGTGTGATGAATTGTTCACCAAAGACCAGGTTTATCGGAACCCTCCCTAAGCTCCCTGCTTTGACCGGGTGCCCTTTTCCTGTGATCTCAGTGTGCTTTCTGCTCACTTCTGTCAAAGCACTTCTTCCACTCTATGGACGGCTCCATTTATGGGACTATCTTCCATTATTAGATTTAAAAGGAGGGCCTGTTTTGTATTAATTTTTTGTATCCCGAACATTCAGCATTATACTAGATTTGTACTGTGCTATGATGTGCTTAGTTGCCCAGTCGTGTCGAACTCTTTGCAACCCCATGGACTGTAGCCCTCCAGGCTCCTCTGCCCATGGGAGTCTCCAGGCAAGAATACTGGAGTGGGTTGCCATGCCCTCCTCCAGGGGATCTTCCCAACCCAGGGATTGAACCCAGTCTCCTGCATTGCAGGCGGATTCTTTACCATCGGAGCCACCAGGGAAGTTCAGATGCTCAAAAATGTTCTCGACCTGAACCACTTACCTATAATAAGCCAACATATTCTTCTTTCCCTCCCAAGCAACCAAGATTTTAAGCACTTAACCTGAGCCAGGTATTTCAATAGGCATTAGGAAAACAGATAAGCTCCCTGCATGGAGCGTATGTGCTGTGTCCAGAGGGGACATGACTTTTGCCAACTCCAGAGCTGCTGCATGGAACCATATGCATGTATAATAGTGCTGACTTTTCAAAAACTCCACCTTTAATAACAGATAGCAGTTATACGCACATAATCTGCTATCTTCATCACTGAAAACAAAAATGAAAATGCTTCTTCTAGTCTTCCTTAAAACTATCTATTAAAATGTCCCTCCAGAATCCTTTCTCTTTGAGTAATGTTAGTGTTCTGCCTCTAAAAATAGAGAATGCAAATTGAAGATACTGTAAAAGTAGTGTCAGTATTTAGGACAGCGTTCTGCACCTAAAAGTGTTTTTTATTTTGCTTTATTTTTTAAAATTCAATAGGGAAAATTCATGATTCAGAAAATAAATAAAGCAAAACCTTTCTGTCTGATTCATTAGTGTGTTCTTTTCTTTTCAGCTTATACATATTTTAAGTTCCACGGATTTGAGTTTATGTCAAACTACATTTGTAGTTTTCCAACTTTTATTTAAAAATAGGAACATTCTTTCTTTAAGCCTAAATAAAATCAAGCAGAGCAGTTTGTTGAAAGAAGGGGAACTAGACATAAGGAGTGCCAAGGTCAAAGTGCCTCTCTGTTTTAAAGTTTTTTACAGAGTTCATGACTTTAAGGAGCATAGCAATAGTGTTTCAAAATATATGCTGTGTCTCCCCCACCTGGACACTCTGATTAGGTATGAACTAATGTTCCATAGTAAAGGCATCTATAGTTTTAAACAACTCCACTAACCTAGGAGACAAACCTAGACAGCATATTAGAAAGCAAAGACATCACTTTGCTGACAAAAGTCTGTATAGTCAAAGCTGTGGCTTTTTCAGTAGCTGTGTACAAATGTGAGAGTTGGACCATAAAGAAGGTTGAATGCCGAAGAATTGATGCTTTTGAACTGTCGTACTGGAGAAGACTCTTGAGGGTCCCTTGGACTGCAAGGAAATCAGATCAGTCAATTCTAAATGAAATTAACCCTGACTATTCATTGGAAGGACTGATGCTGAAGCTGAAACTCTAGTATTTTGGTCACCTGATACGAAGAGCTGACTCATTGGAAAAGACCCTAATGCTGGAAGAGATTGAAGGCAGGAAGAGAAGGGAGCGACAGAGGATGAGACTGTTGGATGGTATCATCAACTCAATGGACATGAATTGAGCAAACTCTGGGAGATAGTGAAGGACAGAGAAACATGGCATGATGCAGGCCATGAGGTTGCAAAGAGTAAGACACAACTGACCAAGTGAACAACAACAACCTAGGAGAAGCCTTCTTTCGTGTGTTCTTTGAGGTGCAAAAAGTTAATGTATTACTTACACCTTGAAATATCTATACTATTTAGAGGGAATATGCTTTTCTGGATTCATGAGTTGAGCTTCAGAGATTTTTAAAAAAAAACTTCTATTTCCTACTCTTCACTCTTCCTACTGCCTGAGTCACTTTCCCCAGATATCCTCATATCTCTGTCTAGTGTTTATTGTTGGTCTCTAGCCTCTAAAATGCAGGCTTCATTTGGGTGGGCATTTTTGTCTATTTTGTTCACTGATTGATTACATGCTCTAGGAGTGCCAGGCGTGTTGTAGGCAGACAGTAAATATTTGTTGAATAACTGCTATTAGTGAGGTCATTCAGATATGTTATTGGTTAAAAAGACTTCTTGGACTGCTCTGGAAACCTAAGCTCTTCCATTTGTAGTGTTTTCTGTAAGAGAGTGGTTCCCATTGCCCCAAACCAGATGTGTAAGTGAAAATGTATAACACTACTATACAGCATAGTTGGTTGGTTCTTGATGGACTGTAACTTTATTTTCATAACAGGATGTGATATGGTCTGACTTTGGGTTTCCTGGAAGAAATGGACAGGAAAGTACATTGTGGATCGGCTCCCTGGGGGCCCATACACCCTGTCATCTGGACACCTATGGTTGCAACTTAGTATTCCAGGTACAAGGAAGGTAATGCATATGTGTATAGGCATGCCAGAGGGAGAGAGATAAATGTATGTGTGCGTGTGTGTCTGTGTGTCTTTGTGTGTTGCACAGGAAAAGCAGTGACTATTGGGTAGGCAGCAGGACTCCCTGCTCCATTCTATCAGCCTGTCTCATGACCAGGGCAAATCTCTTTACCTCTGGTTCAGTCTCCTCCTTTGTGAAATAAGGGGAGCAGTATACACAGTGGTTTCTGTGTGCTGTGTCTCTCAGCCGTGATCAGGATTGCTCTTAGAAAGCTGATCCAGAACTTCCAGGCATCCACTCCCAATTCATCTAGACAGGTGTCTGCTTAGCTGGCTCCTTCTTCCACCTCTTTGAAAATAAAATTAGACTGATGAGGTCTTTCCAGCTCTGACATTCTAAACATATTCTCCCAAATGAGTCCAGGGAGCAGCTTTATCATCTCTAAGGCAAAATATGACTTTATACTTCCTAGTTTAAGAAGAGCAGTCAGCTATCTTGAAAGGACAAGACAGCCCTACTGTAACTGCCAGGGGTCACTAGAGGGCTTTAGGACTTGTCTCAGAACTTGGTTCTTTTCTCTCTCTACTTCCCCATCTGTGGATTTCTATCTGTGTCTTTTCCCTTTTCACACTTCTCCCTTCTTTGCTTCAGATATCCTCCCTCTGTTGGCTCCAAGTATTGATGTGTCTAATGTTTTGTGAGTTAAGATTTATCACTTCCATTTTCCAAAAAACTTTAAAGTGACTGAAACATTTTACAGTTTTCTCTTTTAGCAAATTCCTATATTACACTACTTTTTATTATGTGACATCATTTGTGCATTTCTCTTCCTTAATGAATCAATTTAAATGTTTAACTTAAGAAATTTACAGTCCAAACAGGGAGAAGTCTGAAAACTTAACTTGATGGACAGAACCCTGACAGGTTACCCTGGATAAGATAAGAATACAGAGATTTGAGAGAGTGGAGGAAGGTTATTCTAGGTAGCTCTAACTGTAGGAATCTAAACAGCTTATGAGGAGACTGACTTGGATTTGAAAATTATCTTACAAAGCAGATCTTGTCCCTGCAAAGGGGCTGCTTGGGACATCCTGAGATACCCTCTAGTTGCTAACCTACCTCCACCAGGTGTCTGCAGAGGAGCTTCCAGCACCGAGTGAGAGATGGGCCAGGTGACCCCTGAGGTGGCTCCTGTATTCCTTCGTGGATTGAATGAAAATGGGTGAAAACAGTCACTTAGCTGCTGCCTTCTTACATCTTTTGTCTCAAGTCTACAATACTAACTTGTATCTTTTTTTTTTTCATTAGGAAAAGATGGCATCTCTTTCCTCCTGAAGATACTCCTTTCCTTTATCCAACTAGAATTCCATATGAAGAATCCAGTGTGTTCAGTAAAATCAATGTTGTCAATCCTGATTTAAAACGTTTTCCTCAGTTCCGGAAAGCTCGAAGACATATGGTTACGCTGAGCCCAGGACAGGTAATAGGAGCTTTAAAACATTGGTGACCTGTCAGTGGACACCCCAGCTATAACTTCTTTCAAGTCCTATGTCACGTGCCTCCCTACCAGTACAGATGACTGACAGTGGCCCCTTCCCTGCTGCTCTGCTTTTGGAAGCTAGCTTCTCCAGCTGTAGGCGTCACACAGTCACAGCTTCACAGGTCATGGAAGGGAAGTGAGAGGAGGGTGCATGGCTCCTCCTTCTGGTGAAGAGGAGAATGGACTGTGGAGGAAGATCCAGGAGCTCAGTCGTTTTCATTTAGGTTGAGCACTTCTGAAACATTTATTCACAACTAATATCTGTTCAACTAGGTTAGAATCCAGGCACACAAACACAGGTTCAAGCGTATCCAGTTAGTGGGCCAGCACAGGCAGAATGAGCTAAGAATGATTTAGGGATTTAAGGGTTTTTTTTTAATTGAGGTATAGTTGGTTTATAACATTGTGTTAGTTTCAGATGTATAGCATAGTGATTCAGTTATATATTTTTTCAGGTTATATTCCATGATAATTTGTTACAAGATATTGAATATAGTTCTCTGTACTATACAGTAAATCCATGTTGCCTATATATTCTGTGTGCAGTAGTTTGTATCTGTTAATCCCCTACTCCTAAATTATCCCTTCCCCCATAACCAAACATGATACCCATAAGCTTGTTTTCTATGTCTGTGAGTCTGTTTCTGTTTTGTATACAGATTTGTTTTATCATTTTGTAGATTGAAGTCATACAATATTTGTTGAGAATGATTTGCTTTTAAGCAGGAATGGATGCTGCTTTAGTAACTGACTGTCTCTGAAGTATCTCCAAAGGTTCGGTGCTTAGTGCTCCTACCGAGTGGGGAAAATCACCTCTACAACGCTGGCATGTACGGTCCGATATTTTATTTACATTTACCAGGTTTTCTTAGTCTCTTAAGGGGATTTCATTCCCTTGATTATCCCTCTTACCTGCCTGTGTTCCCTCCTTCCCCCCTTCTCACTGGCTCTTCCTGCCTCCTTTACACGAGAGTGCTCCAGCTCAAGCAATTTGACTGTTTCCTCATCTTGTCAGCAGTCACTCCTCATTCACCTATCCCCCCAGACCCTGACAGCCACTTCTCTGTTTTCTTTCTTGATAGATTTGCCTATTCTGGACATCTCATATAAGTGCAGTTGTGCAATCTGTGGTCTTTTATGTCTGGCTCCTTTCACATAGCATAATCTCCTCAAGGTTCATCCACACTGTAAAATGTTATTGGCTCTTCGTTCTTTTTTATGGATGACTATGTTCCATTACAAATAGCTGAGGAAAGAAGAGAAGCTAAAGGCAAAGGAGAAAGGAAAGCTATACCCAGTTGAATGCAGAGTTCCAAAGAATAACAAGGAGAGATAAGAAAGCCTTCCTCAGTGATCAATGCAAAGACATAGAGGAAAACAATAGAATGGGAAAGACTAGAGATCTCTTCTAGAAAATTAGAGATACCAAGGGAACATTTCATGCAAAAATGGGCACATTAAAGGACAGAAATGGTATGGGCCTAACAGAAGCAGAAGATATTAAGAAGAGGTGACAAGAATACACAGAAGAACTATACAAAAAAGATCTTCATGACCCATGATAGTGTGATCATTCACCTAGAGCCAGACATCATGGAATGCGAAGTCAAGTGGGCCTTAGGAAGCATCACTACGAACAAAGCTGGTGGAGGTGGTGGAATTCCAGTTGAGCTATTTCAAATCCTAAAATATGATGCTGTGAAAGTGCTGCACTCAATATGCCAGCAAATTTGGAAAACTCAGCAGTGGCCACAGGACTAAAATAGGTCAGTTTTCATTCCAACCCCAAAGAAGGGAAATGCCAAAAAATGTTCAAACATTCTTTGAATGTACAATTGCACTCATTTCATATGCTAGCAAGGTTATGCTCAAAATCCTTCAGGCTAGGTTTCAGCAGTACGTGAACCAAGAACTTTCAGATGAACAGGCTGGGTTTAGAAAAGGCAGAGGAACCGAGGATCAGATTGCCAACATTTGTTGGATCATGTAGAAAGCAAGGGAATTCCAGAAAAACATCTACTTCTGCTTCATTGACTATGCTAAAGCCTTTGACTGTGAGAATCNGGAGAAGACTCTTGAGAGTCCCTTGGACTGCAAGGAGATCCAACCAGTCAATCCTAAAGGAACTCAGTCCTGAATATTCATTGGAAGGACTGATGCTGAAGCTGAAACTCCAATACTTTGGCCACCTGATGTGAAGAACTGACTCATTTGAAAAAACCCTGATGCTGGGAAAGATTGAAGGCAGGAGGAAAAGGGGACAACAAAGGATAAGATGGTTGGATAACATTACCGACTCAATGGACATGAGTTTGAGCAAGCTCCAGGAGTCGGTGATGGACAGGGAGGCCTGGTGTGCCACAGTCCATGGGGTTGCAAAGAGTCGGACATGACTAAGCGACTGAACTAAACTGACTGTTGTTCCATTATGTGAATATACATTTTATTTATCCATTAAACACCTGATGGGTATTTGGGTTGTTTCCACTTTTTTGGTTATTATGACTAATACTGCTATAAATACTTGTGTACAAGGTTTTGTAAGAGCATGTATTTTCAGTTCTCTTGGGTATTCATGTAGGAGTGGAATTGCGGGGTCATATGTTAATTCTGTGTTTTAACTTTTGGGGGAATTGCCAAACTGTTTTCCATAGCAGCTGCACCATTTTACGTTCCCACCAGCAATCTATGTGAGTTCTAATTGCTTTACATGCTCTCTAACACTTGTTATCTTCCTTTATTATTCTCGCATTGTGGGCAGATGCTTTACCATCTGAACCACCAGCAAAGTCTATTGATAGTATTACTATTATTATATTGCTACAAGTATAGCCATTTTAGTGGGTGTGAAGTGGCTGCTAATTCTTTTTTTTTCTACTTTAATAGCCAAATTCAGTGAGTATTTCTGTCCCATGTATCAGCTTTTTTACATCATGCTCTTTGCTGAATCCATCATAAACTGGCTCCCTCTCTTACCTCTGTACTGAAAGTAAACTCTGTGATAGGACATTCGAGACCGCCTAATGACTAAATCCAGTGGCTGTAGTGGCATTTTTAGTGCCTAATTCTCCTGAAAGGAGCTCTCTTCCCAGCTCCACCTTGTCTGTAGCAAGTGCTACCATTTTGTAAATCCAAACCCAGAAGTTTCAAATCATCTCCATCTACTCTTCTTGGCCTTTCACAGACTCTTGTAGTGAGTCTGGACAAATGCAGTCCTTCTTGGTTCTGCCCATTGCTTTCGTTTGCTATTCCTTCCTATTTAAATCGTAACATTTAATTTAATAAGTGGACCATTGCAGGATGCTCCTGTCCTTCCCAGACTTTCCCATAATGTCACTATTTTAACCATCCACTTACTCAGAACTTCTCAGGAACTTGTAACGCCTACAGGATATAAAATCCAGATTCTTTATTCTGAATTCAGGGCCCTCCACTGGCCCTAACCTGATTCTCCTACTTTATTCCCCATTATTCCTTCTGCAGTGGTAAAACTGGCCTGCTTGCTATCCCTCGACAGTCCTACCTCCCTTGCCCACTTCCGCCTCCTGGCGTGTCCTCATTCTCTCCTAGTCGTGGTTCAAATCACACTCCCTTCATCCAGGTTGCCCCTGACCTCCCTAGTTTGTGCCTGCCTCTCTCGCCTCTGAACTTCTCTAGCACCAGTGTCCACTCCTCTGATTTACCTTTATATAATGCCACTTTTGTCTATACTATTTTTTCATTGGCTAGATTTTATACCATGAGAAGTCAGAAACTATGTCGTATATTTTTATGTATGCCCTCAGAACTCATGCAATTCTTATGTGATGGAAAGGAGAATGAGTTAAAATCTCAGAATCCTTTACCAAGATTTGGATGCAGACAAAAAAAGGTCCAGCATAAAGGAGAGTAGAGACTGGAGAAGCTGGTAATATCCTTTGTGAAAAAGTGAAAGTGTTATTCGCTCAGTCATGTCCAACTCCTTGCGACCCCATGGACTTGTAGCCTGCCAGGCTCTTCTGTCCGTGGAATTCTCCAGGCAAGAATACAGGAGTGGGTTGCCATTCCCTTCCCCAGGGGATCTTCCCATCTGAGCCACCAGGGAAGCCAATATCCTTTGTAGAACATGCAAACTTGTTAATTTTTTTTTAAAAGGAATAAAAGGATTATGGGAGCTTTTTCTTATTTTTCCCTTTCTTATTACAATATTGCTATAAATTCATTTGAATTTTTTTCCTAGCAGCTTCAGTTTAGATCTGATTCTGACATAAAATGTTTTGGTTTTGTGCTAACCATTTTTTGTTTGGTTTTCAGGTTCTATTTGTTCCCAGACACTGGTGGCATTATGTGGAATCCATTGATCCTGTCACTGTCAGTATAAACTCATGGATTGAGCTGGTATTTTCTTTTTCTAACAAATGTCATCTCCTTGCCTTTAAGATACACAATGCCTGTCTTTTTAACTTAATGACTAATTTTAACCAACACTCCCGTGTTACTTTGTCTGCTATGCTATAGGTTATGGATTCTGTGCTCTGTTGGTGGATGGTGAGGTTGGGAAATAGGGCTTTTGTGACACTGTTCTTTTTCTTCTAGGGGCACAATGCACCCTGACATTAGTGAGCCAGGTCTTCTCCCTTGACTGGTGTTAGGAGAATTGTATTGGGCCTGGCTGAGTCTGCCACACATGTCCCATGTTGCTAGTCCCATCCCACACCATCTGGGCTGGAAATATCTGCTTCTTGGTTCAGGGTCCTCGTTATTAATTGCACAATTCACAGTCCTGACTTATACATTTTCTCAGAGCAGTCTTTCAGTGCTAGGTTTTATCATTTTATTTCTGCAAAAGGCTTTTTCCTTCCATTATGCTATGCTTAATCCTGGTTGCCTGCTCCACTTGACAATTAGAATGGCTAACATTATGGTTCAAGTCTGTCTCTGCCACCTGAGGCCTTATTGCATTTGTGCATGCTTTAACCAGAGGCTTTGATTGCAGCCATGGCTGGTGTCTTTCATTCAGCATAATATTTTTAAGAATCATCCATGGAGTAGCGTGTATCAATACTTCATTCTTTTTTTATAGCTAAAAAGTATTGTTTAGACATACCACATTTTGTTTATCCACTAATCGGTTGGTGGATCTTTGGATTGTGTCTACTTTTGGCTATTATGAATAATGCTACAGCTATTTGTGTACATGGTTTTATGTGGATGTATGTTTTCATTTCTTTTGGTATATACCTGGGTGTGGAATTGCTGGATCATATGGACATCAGCCAGGGCAGGCCAGAAGGCTGGAAATTCAGATGAGTTCAGAGTTGCAGTATAGAGTCCAAAATCTGTAAATCTGTAACAGGCTGGCAGGCTGGAAACTGGCTTAGGATTTCTGTTGCCATCTTGAGGCAGAATTTTTTCTTCTCCAAGAAACCTTAACTTTTGTTCTTAAAGCTTTCAACTGATCAGATGAGGTCCACCTACATTATTGAGGATAATCTCCGTTTACTTAAAGTCACCTGATTATAAATGTTAATCACATCTACAAAATATCTTTACAGTGACATCTAGAATAGTGTTTGACTAGACAATTGGTCACCATAGCCTACCCAAGTTGACTCATAAAATTAACTATTTGGTAACTCTAGAGTTAATCTTCTGAGGAATTGCCAGGCTATTTTCCAATGCAGTGCACCATTTACATTCCCCCAACAAAGTATGAAGATTCTGATTTCTTCACATCCTTATGAAGATTTGTTATCTGTCTTTTTTATTATAGCCATCCTAGTGAGAAGTGGTATCTCATCTTGGGGATTTGCTTTGTTTTAAACTTAATATTATGCTTCTAATAGTCATCTGTGTTTCTAATATTCATCTAATATTCATCTCTGTTGTCACATGTAGCTGGTCATTCATTTTCACTGTGGTATAATAATATCCTGTAGTGTTAATGTACCACAGTTTATTGATTCATTTTTTTGTTGATGGATAATTGGGTTGTTTTTAGTTTTTTTGCTTTTATAAATAGAATATTCTTGTATATGTGTGCAAGAGTTTCTCCAGAGAATGTGTATATATCTAGAAGTGGAATTGCCATCTGTAGGGTATAGAGTACTCAAGTTTATAAAATAATGCCTGCATGTTTTCCAAATGTCTGTCAGTACACATTCCCACCATCTATGTATAAGATTTCTGTCAATTGTTTGACATTTCTCCATCATTTGGAATTACCAGACCCTCTTTTGCCAGTTTCATGGGTTTCTTGATTTGCATTTCCCTGATTACTAATGAGACTAAGCTTATTTTCATGTGTTTATTACTCATATAATTGTTCTTTTTTTGAATGTTTATCTTTGTGGCTTTTGCCCATTTAAAAAAAAATGGGTCATTTGCCTTACTGATGTGTGCAGATTCTTTATATATTTTGCAATCAGTTATATATGTTACAGACATCTGGCTTCTTTATTTCCTTTATGGTGTCTTTTGATGAACAAAAGTTACTAATTTTAATGTAGTTTATCATGATTGCCATAGTTTATATTTATTGTATCTTAAGATACAATAGATAGATAGATATTTAGCCTTAAGATAGATATTTAGCCTTCTGACTCTTGTGACCAAGAATGTTTGTTGTTGTTGTTCAGTTACCAAGTCATGTCCGACTCCTTGAAACCCCATGGACTATAGCACACCAGGCTTCCCTGTCCCTCACCATCTCCCAGAGACTGCCCAGTTTTATGTCCATTGCATCAGTGATGCCATTCAACCAAGAATGTTTATTAAAATTTTTTTCCCATTCCTCAAAAAATTAGCTTGTCAAAATAATCCTCTATTGGGATTATTCATTTTTATGTGATACTTTTTAAAAGAAACTTTAAACATGCCAGAGAATGGAAAATGCTGGAGAAAATATCACAGGTGATTCATACTTAAGGCCTATGTCTTAAGACAGGACCCACACTTAAATTTAGTTGGCGAAATATTCTGCAACTCTTTCTAGGTGGCAGAAGATAGTTAATACATAAAAATCGTGGTCTGCCAACAGCATATTCATCCTTCAGTAACAAAGCTTATGTTGATGAAAGAACAAAACACATAATTAAGAGACTCTCCTCTGTTTTAAGCAGTGAGACCCAGAGACAAATGAAAAACTGTGTCTTCTTTTTCAACCTTGACTTAGGAAGAGGACCACCAAGCCCGGGTAGAAGAGGCAATCACCCGAATGCTTGTGTGTGCCCTGAAAACTGCAGAGAATCCACACAATACCAGAGCTTGGTTAAACCCGACTGAGGTAGGTCTCTTCCAGTTACTATCGTGTGATAAACCAACTCTGACAAGAACGTTTGTTTTCCAATTTATGTAAGTATGTATAACCATTTTAAAGAGTTTTTCTTTTTCCCTAGCTTGAGGAAACATCCCATGAAGTCAATTGTCACTACTTAAATGGAGCCATTTCTGCTTTTTTTAATCATTATGGAACATCTGAAGTAGTAGAAACCCAAGCTCTGAGAACAAACAGAGAATACACAATAAAGGAGGAGTTAAATGTGCACAACCACATGGAGGTAGAACAAATTGGTAGCCACAACTTAAGTTCAGAAACAGTAAAACAAGAAGCAGCAAGTCCTTTTGGCCTTGATCTGGTTCCTGTCATACCAAGTTCCCAAGAACCATCTTCAGCAAGAGGAGGCATATTTGAAAATGATGGTGAAGAGTTTGTCAGCAAAAACGGAAAATCCTTTGGAAAACTGCCTAATACCAAGAGGCAGCGAATGATGAGTGAGAGTGAGAATGCAGTTGTGGAACAGGTTGCTTCAGATAGGACTGGGGCCCTTTCCCAAACATTTGTTTCTACAGATGACTTGCTGGACTGCTTGGTGAATCCACAGGTAACCAGGATAGTGGCGCAACTTCTGATTCAAGGAAAAAGTGTGTGATTCTAATAGAAAATGATTTTTTAAATACTGTTTTAAGAATATCTTTAAAATAATGTAGTTTTTAAATAAAAGATGAAACAGCAAAAGTTCAATTTGCACATGCTTAAAATGTACTGTTCTCACCTAATTAAATTTTAGTCTCGTGCCACCTTCTGGCATACACATTGCTCTTTGGACAACCTGGCTCTTTGTTGTTTATGTGCCTCTTCCCTCAGTGCCTTTGCCTTGCCTCTCCCATCTCATACCTTCAGCCTGTCTCAAATGTAAGCTCCTGGCATTCTCAGAAGGAAGTAGTCTCTGCATCAGCCTCAAGCAGGGGTCAGCCTGTTGCTTGTTTTTGTAAATAAAGTTGTATTGAAACATGGCCATACCATTCATTTACATATTGTCTGTGGTGGCTTTAGGATGACAGTGGCAGATTTGAGTAGTGACAAAGATAGTGTGACTTAAAAAGCTGGAAAAATTCACTGGAACCCCTTACAGAAAATGTTTGCTAACTTTTTAATGGATCAAAGGCATCCACTGGGTGAATTCTGTCTTTTGTTATTTTGTGGGGGAGAGGGACTGCAGTTGCTCATTTCAATAGGTATTTTTGACTCTATGTAGTAAGGCGATGTGGGACAATTTGTGATTGTTCTAGGTTGCCAACCTCTTAATTCAAATGCAGGGTGAATTCTCGCCTTGACCTGAAGTGACCACACTTCTCACGTGTGTAGGATTCTCACTGGTTAACCCCTGTGCTCCAGAGTAGAGTACCCATCAGGAGAAAAGTAGGTGGGGGTTTCTTTGTGGAAGGAGCCAGGACATCTAAGGACAACAGCCCTGCAATAAAAATGACCAAATGCTGCTGACTCCTGAAACTAACGAAAAGCTTTGTTTCGTCAACTTAATCCCACTCTCATTACATTTGCAAGATGTGGGGATAATTATTATCATTACTACCCAAGTAAGAATTTAAAAAAACAGATTTATCTCAGTACCCATTCATGAAAAACACATAGAAAAGATAAACAAAGTCACCTTTTAAGAAGATTGACTATTGGTCTCATCCTTCTCACTTTTCAAACTGAGGGTATCAATAAATCCCGAGAGAGAGCTGGCTTTCTGGGAGAAAGGAGGAAGGGAGTTGAACATGCCCAAGAAAAGAATGGTCTGAAAAAAGACCCTTCTGTAGGGTCTTTGGCCCATTTTTTTAAATACATGTTTCAATGCTATTCTCTCAAATATCCCACCCTCGCCTTCTCCCACAGAGTCCAAAAGACTGTTCTATACATCTGTGTCTCTTTTGCTGTCTTGGACATAGAGTCATCAATTACCATCTTTCTCAATTCCATATATATGCGTTAGTATACTGTATTGGTATTTTTCTTTCTGACTTACTTCACTCTGTGTAATAGGCTCTAGGTTCATC